GCAGAAAGCCTCATCTTTCTCCCATGGAACAGCTGGTAGTTTCAAACTGCTGACCTTGAGGTTAGCAGCCCAACTCATAACCACTATGCTACCAGAGCTCCTTGTGCATACTGGAGGTATAATGACTAAAAAGACACCCAAGTACTTAATCCTGGAGGGCAAATTATTGAACGATGCAGAAAGCATCAGAAGAAGGTGGAAGGAATACACAGAGTCACTGTAGTAAAAAGAAATGGCTGATGTTCAACCATTTCAAGAGGTAGCATATGATCAACAGCCAATAATGCTGAAGGAAGAAGTCCAAGGTACTTTGAATGCACTGACTGACAAAGAACAAGACTCCAGGAATCAATGGAAAACAAATTTAAATCTTTCAACAAACTGATGCAGCACTGGAGGAACTCACTCATCTATGCCAAGAAATTTGGAAGACTATTATCTGGCCAGCAGATTGGAAGAGATCCATATTCGTGCTCAGTCCAAAAAGAGGTGACCCAATAGAACGTGGAAACCATCAGACAATATCCTTAGTGTTGTATGCAAGTAAAATTTTGCTAAAAAGAATTCAAAAATGGTTCAAACTGGATTTAGATGAGGGTGTGGAATGAGGGATAGTATTGCTGACATCAGATGGATCTTGGCAGAAAGCAGAGAATACCAGAAATCTGTTTACCTGTACTTCACTGACCATGGAAAGATTTCTACTGTGTGGATCATGACAAGCTATGGACAATATTATGAAATACGAGTATTCCAGAACACTTAATTGTGTTCATGAGGAATCTGTACATAGAGCAAGAGGCAATCATTCAAATAGAACAAGGGGACACTGAATTGTTTACAATTAGGAAAGTTGTGCACTAGGGATGTATTCTTTCAACATTCTTATTCAATCTGTAGGTTGAGCATGTACTTCAAGAAGCTGGATTATATGAAGATCAGAGCATCAGAATTGGAGAAAGATTTATTAACAATCCGTGATGTTAAGATGACACAGCCTTGCTTGTTGAAAGCAAAAAGGACTTAAAATTCTTATTGATGAAGACTAAAGGCCACAGCCTCTGGTGTGACTTGCACCTCATTGTAAAGAAAGCAAAAAAATCCCCACCACTGGACCAATAAATTGTTGTTAAGTGCTATATAGTCCACCTATATAGGGTTTCTGAGAAGTGGCTGGTGAACTTGAACTGCTGACCTTGCAGTTCAAACTGATTTTGCAGTCCAGTGCACTAACCCACAGCACCACATCAGGACTCCATACCAATAAATAGATCATGATAAATGGGGGTGGGGAAGATTAAAGTTGTCAAAGATTTCATTTTGCTTGGATCTACCATCAGCACTCATGAAGCAACAGTCAGGAAATCAAACAACATATAGCATTAGGCAAACCTGCTGCCCAAGACCTCTTTAAATTGTTCAAGAGCAAAGATGTCAGTTTCAGGAATAAAGTGCATGTGATCCAAGTCCTGATATTTTCAATCACCTCATATGCATGTGAAAGTCAGACAATGACTATGGAAGACCATAGAATTGGTACTTTTGAGTTATGGTGCTGGAGGAGAATATTAAAAGTACCATGGACTGTCCTAAGAACAAACAAATCTGTGTCAGAAGAAGTACAACCAGAATGCTCCTTAGAAGCCAGGATGGCCAGACTTTGTCTCTCATAATTTGGGCATATTATCAGGAGGGGTCAGTCCCTGGAAAAGGACATCATGCTTGGTAAAGTGGAGGGTCAGTGACAAAGAGGGAGACCCCCAATGAGATGGATTGTCACAGTGGCAACAGCCCTGGGCTCATGTGTGGCAGCAACTGTGAGGATGGCATGGGACAAGGAGGTGTTTTGTTCTGTGTTATGTAATGTTGCTACAGGTTGGAACTGACTAGAGGGCACCTAACAACAATAGAAACAAGGAGAAGAGCATAGTGAGGAACCTAGAGACAAGGAAGGCACCACAGGCAAATGGGAAAATCAATCAGGACTTTGTAATCATTGGCATTTGTAGAGGACAAAGCAATGACTCCTCAAACATATCCATATCCTCATCTCTGGAACCTGTGGTTTATGTTACATGGTGTATTAATTCCCTAGGGATGTCATTACAAAATATCATTCACTGTTGTTGTCAAGTGCTGTGGAGTCAGTTCCAACCCATAGCAACCCTGCATAGGGCTTGAACCTATGAGGAGTCTGGTAAGCTTGAACCATTGACTTTGCAGTTCAAACTGACTTTTCTGTCCATTGCATTAACCCACAGCACCACAACAGGAATCATAATATATATTGTGGTGGTTATGTGCCGTGGACTCTGTTTCGACTCAGCAACCCTGTACAGGGCTTATAAGGCTGTAAATCTTTACAGGAGCAGAAAGCCTCATCTTTCTCCAGTGGAATAGCTGGTAGTTTTGAACTGCTGACCTTGAGGTTCGCAGCCCAATTC